TGTTCGAAATGCGGAACTGAAATGAATTACCAATCTACTAGAGAGCAATGCTTACAAAACATCATCCATAGAAAGCACCATTCAACAAAGACTACAGCAAGATAGCAATACACTCAAAAACAACAAATGGTAACGTTATAATCTCACATTACAGAAATCATATGTCAACGGCACATAAAATAGACGAAGATTATTCTAAGATTTTTTCCCACGTGCAACATAAATGATTTTTGCGTCCCAATTTTTTTAAAATCGCCGATTAAAAATATTGAAATATTTCTTAGCTAAATTACAACGTTATTGTCTTATTCGATTATGTTTTATTATTATTATTGGGCTGAGGTGCCTGGCATTGTTGATGCAGTGTCCGGGTTCGAATGCAAAAAGATCCCCGCCTATCACATGCAAAAGTGTGTGATGCGTTGATTCACGTGTATTTATGCACCGTGTGTTTGTGGTAATAATGATAATGCGCCTCAGTCGCTTGCCATGGCGCTATATAAAATGACATCACTATCATTATTATTTTATAACATGCAATTGCGAATTTTTGCGATCCAAAATTTGATGATATCATTACCAACTTGACACCTTAATACTGACTTCAATGACAATGAAAAACAAAGAAATGACAACAAAGATGAATAATACGGCACCAACTAATAACTTTGTAAGAGAACTTTGCTTGGTTTAAAGAAACCGTATTAACGAAGATGATTTGTAAAAAATCGAAATAAGGCCTATCTGCATGATAAATTTGGATAACAACAGTTTTAACAAATTTTCATGATGAACTTGGATAATAATTCTGTTATCAATAAATTGGACAACTTCCAAAAAATTCTAGAAAGGAAAATTGAAAAGACAAACTCTAAATTGATTAATGCCAACAATTCGATGGAATTCATACAATACTGTATAAAATATGGTCTCCTTCCAATCTTCCAATATATATATCAAATCAAATCAAATCACTTTTATTCAATCAAACAAAACAAAAGCATGAATGATTCGGAGACCAAAAAAAGAAAATTAATTCTTGTGGGCTCGGCAGCTCAAAATTGCTTCTCAATGATAAAATAAAATTGTCAATAGGAGAAAATGTATCAATGTTAATGAAATATGTACACACTTATATACATATATATACATATACATTATTATCCTTGAAAAACAGAACTTTTCGTAATTAAAAAATTTTTCAGTTTATTTTTAAAAAGATGCAAAGTGTTACAATCTTTAATTTCTTGTGGAATCGTCTCCCATATTCCTGGGCCGGTATGTTTCAAACTCGTGCAGAGTACTTTAATTCTGGCTGGTGGAGCATAGAAAAGTGG